GGTCTGTGACGGGTAACCTACCTGTCGGTGACAGTCTGTGGCGGGTAAATTACCTGTCGGTAACGGTCTGTGATGGGTAAATTACCTGTCGGTAACGGTCTGTGATGGGTAAATTACCTGTCGGTAACGGTCTGTGATAGGTAAATTTCGCCGATTGCAGATCATTACAGTGAGGTGATTCAGTCATCACAAATCGTTCTAGACAGGCGATTCATCCATTACAGAGCGTTACAGAGGTGTTTTGTCGAAGTCAAACGGAAAGCAATTTTGAGATGTTAAGGGTACACAGTTGGACTACTTCCACATATATTTTAATTGATGAATTACCTAATTACCGATAACAGACCCTAATAGATAGGCGTTGGAACTATCACAAACGGGTTAGCAAATGGAGGGTGGATAGAGAGGAGCACTTATGGTATACTTTGATGAATAGTAGTGGACGTCTTCGTACGGTCAAGGAAAACATAATGCTACAATATCAGTAAATTTATGACCTGCTTGCATTTTCACTTTTATGTGGTGCATTCAAGTATAATGAAAGAAAAAGTTCAGAAATATATAGAATAATTTGTTTTTCTGGTCAGAATTAACACTTATATCGTGTTTCAGATTTTAATCCCGAAGGGATTGCGCTAACAGCTTTTTTAAGTGACGAGGAACTATTCTTCATAAATAGAACTATTACACGTTGTTTAACTTCGTGAAGTTTTGTATTTATATGATCTGAACAATATAAGCTATGTTCGAATCAAATTTTCGTTGTAAAAAAGAAAAGAAAGTGTTGATCATTTTATAAACAGTCAGCAAGACGAAGATTTCTATCTGATTGTATTATCCATTTTCACGAAAACTTGACAACTGAGAAAAGTCTATAACATATTCCGCATCCATTTGCCTTGAAGTTAGATAGTGTTACCACCAGTATTTTGTCTCATTTTAACAGCAACGATGTTTTCAACACTGATTTATTTTCTCATCCTGGTTCTATTCAGACAATTCACGTTTTACATGACATAGTAATATAAAAAAAAAGGATACCAATTTTATAATAAATTCATTTCAAATTTACGAGAATAATACATTCATAATCATATTTAAATAAGATCGATTGTATTGTAAGTTTAGATTGTTCACATTCATAAAAGTCAGCATCAATATAAGTAAACATATTCGATTTTGTATTTGAATGATTAAATATTGATTTTTAGGCTAAAGAATTTTCAAGATTTAATAAAATTTATGAATTCAAACGTCAATTTTTCAATCAACTAGTACAAATAATTTTTACATCGATTTAGATTGTTTACGATGAATCATATGTAACTTTTACACAATGGATGAAGACAATCACTGATTCGAACTAGTTTTAATTATGGCTTAATCAACGCCAAGTCTCACTACATAAAATAGGCTAACTGAGAAATATGATCCTTATTTTTCTTGGCCCAAATTAAATTCGACAGGAGAAATCGAACAAATTTTATATAATATAGAGATCTTAATGTTACTAAAAACCGTCCCAACGAGTATATCAGGCGAAATTCCGTTCTTGAGATCATCGCGTCACAAAAAGAAGTTTTTACAGTAAATGACATATATTTCGATAAAAAATAGCAACTTTTGTTCAATCTTCTGAACAGACAAAAATTCTAAAACAAACTTGCTCGAAAAAAAACCTCTCATGTTTATTTAGAGAACTTCTTATTTTCAAAATTGAAATTTTATCATTCGTTATCCTAAATGTTCAGACAGTCTTTTTTGTTCCACTTTATTAAAATCACATGTTGTAATAGACTCGTACGAAAACTATCTCTTCTTAGTCGATGATGCAAATCGCACATTTGATGTAACCAGGGTTGCCAAATCTTAATTTTCAAATGGGGCTTATAAGAGTTCGAATGGGGTACATTTGGGGTACAACTGTTTTTGTAATGCGGTATATCATTGGCGTACACATAATAGTTTTTAAAATAAAAGAATATCCTAGAAAAGTTGATGAAAAAAAAACTTCTTTTAAAAAAACAACGTTTTAGTCGACTTTTTCCTAATATAAATCAGTTTTATTGTTCATTTTTCACACAATACATACTACTCAGATAAAATAGAAATAATAATAAAACGATGGAAAAAGGGTAACATTTATTAATCTTTATTTTTGTATGGAATGAAAATAAGTAATCGAAAAGCTCAAGAAGAAACGAAATAAATGAAAAGATTGCTTATATTCTTTGTTAAGTTCTTTTTCAATAGATTTCATTATACCTTACTCTATGAAAATGATAGAAAATCTGTTAGAAATCATACCTTACTTTCATTAAAAAAATCACTTTATCGTAATGCAGACTCAAAAACCTAAATGGGGGACTGTACCCCAAAATGGGGTACGTTTGGCAACCCTGGGTATAGGTTATGAAAATGTCTATGTAGATAGTTATCATATATACGCCTGATTTAAATAGAGTAACACACGAATTCATCGATGGTAAATATTAACAATAGTGGATATTAGAACAATTACTTGTTGAGTAAAATATAATGTTGTGGATACAGTGGATTTTCATTCTTTTCATCAGTAAACACATGTAAATATTAACTGAAAAATTCATTTAATGAGATGCTGCTCATTTACTTTTCTCACATTCTATAATCGATGTATCAAATATGATTTTCATAGAGTAAAATAATTTCATCGTTTCAATTGCATTGAGACTAATATATATTATTATGACTCATCCTACAGTAATAAATGGTCGCTTCGATTGAGAGTGTAGCTGGAAAAATTATAGACTATACGATTCACAGTAGTGATTTGGAAGGATCTTTGGCTAAATATAATTGTTTAATTATTGATGAGTCTAAACTTTTCTGGTCATCTTCACTAGAATTGATACATCTAACACATTGGGAAGGCACATATTCAATAAGGCTATTAATCAGCAATATGAAATTAATGGAACATACTTATATTGATCTACTTGAATGTGACATGATTTCAAATATGCGATGGTGAGCTTTTAAGATCTGTTCTAAATGTTACATGAAGATCGAAAAAGCAATACAACAAAGCGTTGTGAGATATTAAAAGAAAACAGAATATTTATATTGTCTGCATCTTATTTGAAGCAGATAAATATATGAAATTTCATTGAAATAATTACAAAACGATTTAGTCATTGAAGATTTTTTCTGAAATCAAATAATACGAAAAAAATGTCTCCCTTTTTTCTTGATGTATAGGTGTTAAGCAACTATAAAAATACTTTACAGGTTGTAACTCATTTATATGAAAAATTCGACGGAAACAGATGATAGTAAATACGTTGTTATTATGCGATCACAAACTGTAGATCAATAACAGTTTGCTACAACACTTTTTATGGAGGTTTAAAATAGAGAGAAGATGGAGAATTATATTTCAAGATGTATACAGTAAAACAGTTTCTCTCTGTGATTAATAAAAACAGTTGAATCGTATTTCAAAATTTAATATCACATGAATTACACAAATAACTTTATCAGACAGAAGATTTTACTTTCATATTTTTTTCTCACATCTGTTCTCAAAAAAAAGAAAAAGATTTCTTCCGATTTAATATCTGAAATAAAATTCACGAGAGAATTGTTTATCTCTCGAAATCAATCTATGCAACGATCAGATGGAGTATCGATGTCATCAAGACACATGTATTCCTTTACAGACAACGTTTGATAAAATTATAAATTGTAGCGATGCAACGAATGAATATCGCGCCAATACTCGTCGACTCGGAGGTTTATCCGACTTTATCTGTGATATTATCGAACTTCTTCTCTGTCATGAACATGTATGGGGTCGCTAGGCTTTTTCTTGTGGTGATGGAACATGTACATATACACTCTATGGAGTAAATCTATCTGAATGTGTTCGCGAAGTGTTTGGAGGAGTAAAGCATTTATCTTCCCTTCCGATATTCCTATCATCAATCAAATAGAAGTTTTTTTCTACACTATATTCAGTCTGATTACGTTTGTTTTGATGCTAGTTTTTGTAAAAATCATCCATAGCCGTTGATTACTATACGTAATCGTACATGTACGCGAAAGTTGAATGAAATGTCTTTATATTTCATATTCGTCAGAAATTTACAACCTGCTTTTTGCCAATGAACGAAACAAAAAGCAATAGTCTTCTGTTTATTTGTGGACAATTGAAACATTTCCTAAGAGATGGCTACGAAGATTATGATTTCGGCATTGATGAGAATCAACAACTAGATACATACTCACTAAAGCTTGCGAATCGCTCTCAATGTCAAACAAGTCAAATGGATTCAAGATTGCAAGGATGGCTCAGATCAGGTGAGAGCTTTTTCCATAATTTTTATCACTGTCTATCGAAGCTGGGTGTAAATGGAAGCGAGATTCCTTGCCAGACCATGCCCATTTCTTATTTTTTTACTGATGCTAGGAATTTATCGACATTAGAATTGGAAATATAAATGATGAAGATAATTGTCCATCAGATAATAAAAATCATTGTGTAAACAAAACATCAGGTCAATTCGTTTGCTATTCTTCAAATATGTGTTTTTTGTCATCGCATGTAAGAATGAGAAGGACAGAACAAAACGCTTTTGTTGTGTGAATTCAAATATTTCGAAGATGAAAACTCGTGTGTCCATGAAAAAATCATTCTTTGTTAATACATAGGTCTAATGCTTATTTTACATGTCACAACGGTCTTCAACTAAGTTTCAACCAAATGTGCAATGAAATATTGAATTGTGCTAATGGTGCAGATGAAGTGTTTTGCAGAATAACTGATCCTCCATGGAATGACGCTTATCATGATCGATTTTTATTAGACATTGATATCGATCCTCCGACAACTGTAACTGCACCCCTCTTAATCAAAAACATCGAATATATCGAATCATTGCAATACGAAAGGTAAAATAGTGAATCAATTATTTTCGATTTTTATTTCTCGAAAATCAAATTTAATTCAAATGATAATAATTAATGAAAAAATACAATGTCTTTGATTCTTTAGAGTAGTTCAAGTCAAACAAATACAAGATCAAAGTCTTTTGCACGTAGTGTGGTACTGTAATCTTGGTCTACTTGCGTCGAAATGATCCATCACGATGTGCTCATAAAAATGGATGCTTTTGTTTTAATATTGGATTTTCAAAGTAGTTGGTATTATGATTTACCTTTTGCATTTCTTCCTGTTCAAAGGCTCGTAATTCATCTGATACTTCTAAACCTGGTTGGGTGGATACTGAATGTGTTATCCTGATTTGATTTGCTATCCTAATCCATGTTTTTCAGGAAGTATTTGTATTTTTGTAACACGAAAATCTGTGTGTATATGCCCAATGCATAGATTCGGTCCCACATGTAGAATTCAAACAAGACATATGTCATGAAAAGATACGTCAAGGCAATGGTACAAGGGGCTAACACTCGATGTTAATGCACGAGCGGCATTAAATCAGTTCGATTGTGCTTATCCAGTTGGTTTCACTGGATTAAAATGTGAAAAAGAAACAGCTCATTTAAATATTCACTTGGAATCGAAACTGATTGCTAAAACATCTTATATATATATATATATTTATCAGTATATTCAATCAGATGATTCATATAGACATCTTTTGAAAAATGTTCAATTAGAAAAACCATTACCAATTTTTCATCGAAATCAAAAATTACATAAATTCGATTTTGCATTTATTCCACTAGCTATAGAAAGAAATCGTTGTCCATATATTGATCCCTCCTTCAATGAGAAAATATTGAACTTTGTTTCATTACAAAGAGCTAAATTTGATCAAGAACCATACCATAATTACTCGACATTATTCTGTTTTCACAATGACATTTTCATGTGTATATGCGAACGATTTCGACTCACTCAATGGTTCTTTGGTAACCTTTGCCGATTTACAACATCACAATATTCGATTTCATTTGATGCTCCAAGTGGTCCAATACTTGCTATTGAAAAGGGATTGTCTCAATAAGATGACAATCATTCTTTTTATTGTTTGAAATAAATGTCAATTTTATATTATCGTTTTGTCGATTTTGGGCACTTGCTACTTAATAATATTGACACTGAAATTTATTTCTATAGTTCTCCTACCATATTTATCGGATAGATTGAGTTGTATCTTCATTGAATATTTTCTTAAATGTTTGCCAACTATGGTTGACTGGCTGAATATATCTGTACTTTTGGAAAGTGTCTAATCTATTCGAAGTAGACTTCATTTTGATAAAGTAAAAAGTAAAAAATAGCAACAGTTGTCATTTCGATTGTGATTGTTTTTGTTGGCTTTAGTTTCTTATACTATTATTTTATACCATTCATCATTAATATCATTGCAGCAGTAATTATTCTCGTAAACTTATGTCGCATTCAATCAACAGCAAGCTCACAATCGAGTTCTCAAAGAACAATTAATTGCGCTCAAACTATTAGTCCTATTGTTCTTATTATTTTCGCTTTAACGAGATTGATTTTTTCTGTTGTCCTTGTTTGCACTTTGGATTCAACATCTTGGGAAATTTATCTTCTTAATTTCATTAGTTTCCTAGCGCAAACAGCGAATTTTCTGATCTTTATTTTACCATCCATGACTTAAAGCCCCCCCCAGAATAGATGGCCACCCCCTGTATAAGCCATGTTGCGACAAAAATTCAAGCGCTCTATTAGAAGGCCATGCACTAATTAATTAATTAATTACAAAAATTCTGAATTTTTAATATGTATCAATAAATATTTATGGCAAAATAACCGATTTTCCATTTTGTTTTTTGCGAAATCTTTACTGTCTTATCGTAAATTGTATAGTTTTAAAAAAATGCTAGTTTTTTCAGTCAAAAAGTCTAAAAAATAATTAAGATTATTAATTAATTTTTAATTTTTTAAATTAATAATCAGACTAAAATTGACCCTCAATAGAAGGCCACCGAAAAAATAACGATGTGCTGAGACACTGTACAAGGCCATGGCCTTTTATTCTGGGGGGGGTTATTCCAAAAAATTAAATTAATCATTATTTTTATGTTTTAGTTCCATTCAAACAAACAATTAAATCAAGACGACAAACAATTGTAAGTATATCTTTTTCTCATGTAGTTTTCTTCTGTTTTTTGTAACCTTTTTATTTTTAACAATAAACACTTTGAAAATAACAATTACTTCTTTTTCATTTCAATAATAAATACCTCAAGAAAAAACTTGAATGTTCTTTTTTGATTTAAATAATAAATATTTTCAAAAAGATACAATTGATTTTTCATTCGAATAATAAATGAATATATATTCAAAGTAACAAATTTTCATTTCAGGAATTAAATATCACAAAAATCCAAATTTTATTTCTCATGTAAATACTTCAAAAAACCAAATTTTATTTTACATTTCAATAATAATTATTTTAAAAGACAAAATTTTGTTTTTCATTCAAATAATAAAATATTTTGAAATTAACTAATTAATTTTCATTTAAGTAATAAAATATTCTAGGAAAATAATACGAATTTCTTCTATTTATTAATTCATTTCTTTTCATTTAACAAATAAATAAATAAAAGAAGAAGAAGAAGAAAAGAATCTTATATTTTAGCTTTTTTCTTTTCTTTCAAAGCAAAAGAGAGAGTAAAAGAAAATTTCTTTGTTTTCTTTGTTCATTTATTTCAAAGTTTAGAAAAAGAAACGAATAAAGAGAGAAAACAATTCACAAGTCTTATTCGATAGAAAATCGTTGAACACGTTGATTATATTGATCGACGACATAGAGATTACCATGTCGATCGAAAGACAAACCATGGGGGTGGTTGAACTGCTTGTCTCCTTCTCCTTCACCATTTTCACCCACAATTACGGTGCCTTGTTTCTTGTCTCGTTGAGTCCAACGCAGTACACGATTATTCCCCTGGTCTGCTACATAGAGTGTACCCAATGTATCAACGAAGATTCCTTCAGGAAAATACAATTGTGTCAGAGCATACCCTTTGCCTTGTCCTCCAGCGACGACGATACCTTCTTTTGCACCTTTATTCCATTTCATCACACGATGATTCAAGATGTCTGATACGTAGACATTCTGTTGTCGATCGACAAAGAGATATTGTGGCGTGTTGAGTTGATTGAGACCATCACCTTCGCCATTACCACCAGCTACGAGAGTGTAATTCTTATCACCCAATTGATATCGTCTTACTTCATGTTTTCCGCCGTCAGAGACGTAGAGATATCTCTTTTCATTCAGAACTAATCCATAACATTCGATATTGTCGATGAGTATTTCACCTTGTGTTGTGCCACTACGGCGTGACCATCGTACAACTCGTCGATTCCCTTCATCGCAAATAATGAGACTATCCGTCTCTTTGTCAAGGAATACATCTCGTGGATGATTCAGTTGATGTAATCCATTTCCTTCGCCATTACCACCAGCAACAACTTGTCCATTCGTTGTATTACCATTCTTCCATTGCATGATACGATTATTCCAGTAGTCAGCAATAACCACTGTTTGATCATCATCAACGAAGAGACCAAAAGGGAGGCAGAGTTGATTAGTGCCACCCCCACCCCCGTGACCTCCAGCAATAGTCACTCCGTTCTGTGTCCATTTAGCATTAGCAGGAATATTAACTAGAGAAGAGAAAACGTATAAGAATAAAAGGAGATCTATCTTTTTATCGCGGTGAAGTGATAGTATATTATTAGAAAAGAACTACTCTCTTTCTCTCTGTCTCGCGAGTATAGCTATAGTATATGAAATAATGTCGAAAGTATTTTGAGTAAATTTCTTTGAATAGATCATTTTGTGGAACTCACATATATTTTCGCAGAAAATAGTGAGTGTAAGTTTAATTGTTAGGTTTTTGCGACTCCCCTGGACCCCACCCCCTCCCCATCACAGACATGAAACATAAAAAAACTAATACCTCGGTACACTAATTAGATAACATTTTTGTACAGATCGATTGCCTATGTTCACCACTACTCACATCACTAATAAAAATCTAGTTTCACTAATTAGAAATCATTATAATTAGGATTTCGTCTCT